GTATGAAGCGATGCAGGTAGCAGATGTAAGGCACACACACCAAGTGTTCAGGACATTGTTAATACAGCGAAAATCAAAGCTGACGATCTCTTGGTTTGATATGTTTTCTCCCCCAGACAACATGGACATAAGAAAAACAAATTAAAAGAAGAGAAAAGTAAGTGTTCAGCTGGTAGCAGGTAATCAGTTAACAGTGATGGCGGCGGCGGCTCACTTCTGGAGAGGAGTTTCGTCTTTATGTCATGATAGAGAGATACAAATACTGAATAGTTTAGATGAGAAAAGGCATCGAAATGCCAGGTTACTAGTATTTATCATGTAAACAGGGAACATGAATAACCGATCTCTCTGTGCTCATGTAAACACCATGATGTCCATGTAGAGACGCAGTCAGTGTGTTTTACTGGAGCCTCAGTTCGATAAGAGATTATTTTCTGAGTTCTTTAAGGTACTCTCTCTCAAAATGGTAATATGCATTATGTTTTAATTATACTTCTTATCATTCAGAAGCTTTTTGTGTGTGTTTATGTTTTACTGAGTGCTTATAGGCAATTTCCATCCCAGTATTCAGTTAACTATTTATTTTCTGTGCACATTACATAGACTAGCTAATATTCTACCTACTGCTTGGGGCACTGTAGTAGGCTATTATAGTCAAGGGGCATCATATGACCAATATAAACAGAAGAGCAATATTTCTTTGAACATTTAAGTCAATGATACCATTCCTAGGTGAACTTAACATCTGTATGGAGTCAGATCAGTCTCAATATTAATAAATGCTCACAGAAGGATTCACAAATGTATTTTGCGATTTATATATAAATGACTCTCCTCAACAATATCTCTCAATGCACTCACAAATATTTATTGTTGTATATAAATGTACCAAAAAATGGGCATTTAAACTGCTTTTTATAAATTCAAAGACGGCTCTGAATTAATAATCAAATATGTTTCCTTTCTTTACTACTGGATGAAATTACAAAATGTACCCATCATTTTCCTCATGCTAGTATAGCCACATAAAAGTATCAAACCACCTGTTCAAATGCAGCAGAATACAGGAAATCTATATATATTTTTTTTTTTCGTGAGGGGGATCCCCAAACCCTTCCACACATTCAGGATGCTTCCTACGGCCTACGGCCATGAATATTGACAATAACAACCAACCGTCGGGTAGCATTTGCCGGGGAGCGTTCTCATGGCGTCTATTACAGCCTGTCCTCCTACAAAAAACGACCAAATAGGTTGATTGGTTAAGCAGCTTAGATTACGACCCATAGCCACGTTTTAAAGTGTAACACCTCTAGTGGTCGTGTAAGAAACAATATGCTCACGTTTATTCACAAATAACCCTCTCTGGAAAATCCTAAATTGTGGAATAGTTTGGCCATTAAAATGCTTTTTGATTAGATTTCTAGTGAGAAGTGTATATTGTGCTTTTAGAATCCACGTCCAGTGGAAGTGTAGGATCTTGTTGGTCTATTATCAACGCTATGGGAGGTCGATGAAGGTCTATGGGACGCCCTGCCCGTTGAAAACTGACTCTCAAGGGGTGCCCTGTCCGTTAGAGTGACGGGGAGGGGCCCTGACCGTCCGTCAATATGTGACGGGTTGGGAGTGAGAACGTGTTGGGGAGAGAGAGCGCGTGCGGCGGTCTGCTTGCGCACGGAGCAGAAATGTTATGAGAGAAAATATATTTCTCTGTGTTCAAAAATGTTCAAGTGCGCGCTCAATAGCATTTTTTATGCTCAACATGTTTCATTGCGTGCTCAGGATGGAGGCACAAATATAACGCCATACACATGAGTGGGTTCAATGAGCATGCTGATAAGTTAGCGTTAGAAAAAGAAATAGCAATACCAGTTTCACTTGGAAAAGGAGAAGGAAAAGCAATAATTAAGAAGAAGGGTATGGAAATATGACAGACGAGGTGGGAGGAAGATCAGAAAGGGAGGAGGTATCACAAGTTACAGAAATCAGTCATAACAAAGATCTACAGAAAGGAACAGACGGGAGGAGATCATCACTAGACTCAAACTGGATCATACAGGATTAAACGGAACAATGTTTATAATGGGAAAAAGCAAAGTTGAAGAATGCAGGGGGTGTGGAGTGAAATAAAATGTGGAACACATCATATTACACTGTAACATGTACAAAACAGAGAGGGAACAACTAAGAGACAGGGTCAGAGAGGCTTGAAGGGAGTGGAGCCTGATGGGGACACTGGGAACAGAAGGTGAGGGGGTAAGAGCTACCAGGAAGGGAGTGGAGCCTGATGGGGACACTGGGAACAGAAGGTGGGGGGTAAGAGCTACCAGGAAGGGAGTGGAGCCTGATGGAGACACTGGGAACAGAAGGTAAGGGGGTAAGAGCTACCAGGAAGGGAGTGGAGCCTGATGGAGATACTGGGAACAGAAGGCGAGGGGGTAAGAGCTACCAGGAAGGGAGTGGAGCCTGATGGAGACACTGGGAACAGAAGGTGAGGGGGTAAGAGCTACCAGGAAGGGAGTGGAGCCTGATGGGGACACTGGGAACAGAAGGTGAGGGGGTAAGAGCTACCAGGAAGGGAGTGGAGCCTGATGGAGACACTGGGAACAGAAGGTAAGGGGGTAAGAGCTACCAGGAAGGGAGTGGAGCCTGATGGAGATACTGGAAACAGAAGGCGAGGGGGTAAGAGCTACCAGGAAGGGAGTGGAGCCTGATGGAGACACTGGGAACAGAAGGTGAGGGGGTAAGAGCTACCAGGAAGGGAGTGGAGCCTGATGGGGACACTGGAACAGAAGGCGAGGGAGGTAAGAGCTACCAGGAAGGGAGTGGAGCCTGATGGGGACACTGGGAACAGAAGGTGAGGGGGTAAGAGCTACCAGGAAGGGAGTGGAGCCTGATGGGGACACTGGGAACAGAAGGTGAGGGGGTAAGAGCTACCAGGAAGGAAGAGGAGCCTGATGGGGACACTGGGAACAGAAGGTGAGGGGGTAAGAGCTACACTGTAAAAATCAACCTATAAGATCTACTCTCTAAATGGGGGTAACCATTTGCACACACTTCTTTGGAGTAGATTTTACCCAATGTTTTTTGGGTAAAGGTTACTAATATTTAATATATAAGACTTACTTTAAGAAATTAAGTAAAATCGAACTCAATTACTTAAAACGTATTACTTATAAATGAGTAATATTTACTCCTAATCGTAGGCATCTATTTACTTAATAATTGATCCATATTACACATTCATATTACTTTATTTGTAAGGTTACCAGTAAACAATATATTGCCACACAAGATTTTATTGATCATGTTTTTTTTGTATTGACCAAATGTATAAGTGCAATATGGCCATACATTGAGATTATTTAAACAGTTAAGTGCATTTCAATTGTTAACACTGAGCAGAATCTTCAAAATAGTCACACAATCACATTGTTTTAACAGTAAAGTGCATGGAAATTGTAAACATTTTTAACATAATCTTCCAAGTGCAATTTACTCAACTATTAAAACCTTTGAGTGCCAGTAAACAGTCCACTTTTAACAGAAAAAGGTTTCTCCACATCCATTACATTCCACATCACATTATTTTGTGTTTGTGTCACTCGGCACTAAAACAAGTCAACATCCACTTCAGAACAAATTGTTTATTTGAGGCTCTGGAGCTGTTTGAGCAGCTTGGCTCCATCAAGCTCCAAAAACTGTTTTTAGAATACCTCAAATGTGTATTTGAGCTTGTTGGGGTATTCCAGGTTGAGGGTGTAGAGATGAATCCCATCAACAATGCGAATGCCTTTGTTTGGTTTCCGCACAAAACTCTGTCTCCCTCTCTGACAATGGACACATCTGCTGGTCCCGTCCCTGGCATCATGGATCACAAGCACCTTCATAGTTTGGTCCACGACGTTGTCATGCTCGTCCTCCATGTTGAAAAGAAAGAAAGAAAAGCATATTCACTTTAAATTAGGCATATTAACAAGAAGCTATTATACAATATAGGCTTTGTGGTCTAGCATTAAGCCTAATCAATAAAACCAGGGATTGACTTTTTTAAAATGATTTGTAAAAATGTGTTGCAGCGATTAAAAACAAAACAAGATTTCTAACTTATATAAAACATGTCAGGCCCAGTCAAATTGCCCATTGATCTAATCAATGACATTCAATTGATTATTTCCCATAAACATAACTTTTCAGTGCATGATTTTATTTATCTTATTTCACTTTAACACCAAAAGAAGGTTTTTGTTTTTAGGTAGTTGTATATGTTAAGTAGCAAGCACATCAGTAAATTATCCCTAAATCATTTTCCTGTGAATGCTAAACCATTTATAAAAACAATAAGATGTTTACAGATTTACAGCAATAAATTGCATATTTATTTGTTAGGTGTCAGAGTGGTTAATCACATACATTAAACAATGGTATCAGAGCAACCTCTGAAATAACTCCGTTAAAAAAAAAATGTTTTAAGTGAAACATCCGGGGCTTTTCAGAAAACATCCGGGCTTGAGCCAAAGTAGCCACCCCCTAGCACCGCCACTGATTGGAAGAATTTAAAACAACGTAAACAACACAATGGTATAATTCCACAAGTGGTGATTGGATGATATGGTGATACACTTTATTGTACAGTAGGTGGCGGTATGCACCTGAAAGCTGTTTGCAATCCGCCAAAAAACCGAGAGAAGAAGAAGACGACGAAGAAGAAGAAGAAGAACCTGGATCCACGTGGCGTCTCGTCGCTACGGTTCTCTCTCTCTCTGTGTTCCTGAGAAAGTGTGTGTGAGCTCCAGCTCTACTGATCCATCATCTCTGTGTCTGGATAAACCTCCGAATGGACTGTGTGCTCTTTTTTCTGGAGCGTTTACCTCGGACTATAGGAGCTAGCTTAGCATGCTAGCTGGAAACACGTTAGCAACACTAGTCAGATTGAGAGTTTGATGCAGAGAGAAACGGTGTGTTTAACGGAGTCTGCAGGGAAAGGTGATCTAGGAAACATGAGTAAAGTCCAAATGCTGCTGTCGTTGAAGAAGCAGCGACTCACTGCTGCTAATGAAGAGATATTTGCTCTGTTTAAACAAACAGTAGCAGAGCTCGAGGAGGAGCTGTTTCTTTCCAAAGAGGAGAACAAGAGACTCCAGAAGCTACTGGACGCTGTTTTACAGCCTCAGCTTCGGATACACAGAGCAGGTATGTTCCCTCTACCCTTAATTAACACTTTACACTCTTCAGTAGCACTTTATCATCACATTAATAACACTTTAGACCCTTTATCAGCACTTGCTGCAGGTCTGATTTGTATGCATTGTATGCATACAGATCAGACCTGCAAGTCCCTCGCATGCCGTAAAGCATGTCGCAACACTGTCATAACAGCCTTAACTCTGTATGCATTGTATGCATATGTGACATCTCCCCTTTTTTCCTAGTTATTTAATTTTAAATAACGGTAAAGAGTTTTGACAGATTAGTCACAGCATCATCCTGTAATAGTAAACAACAGTCAAACTGTGATAGCAAATGTTCATTCAGTCGTACTGACCAGCCAAAAGTGTCCTATGAATACAGGTTAACTTAATGTTGATAAAGATGGGTAACCAATACCTTCAGTAGTGCTGTTATGAAATAAAATTCAAGATGCAAGTTTTCTTTTCTAAACATTGCAGCAGTAATATCATGTGTGCATAACATTCACAATACACAGAACCCAACATTCTGCAGACTCAGAGTCCACCTGTGTTGCTCCCCCCCAAAGGCCATAGGTGTTTTTTTTTCTCCTTCACCCCCAGAGGTCATTGTGAAACACCCAAAACACTCCTGTCTACAAGTCCAACCTAGTGGCCGGCTTACTGACACGACCTGGTCTGAACACGTCCTGGTGTTGGTGTGTGGGTCGTCACCTCACTTGGTTTCAGGGTAGCAGTCTCTGGTGTGTTGGCGCTTACAGGCTGGGAAATCGCCACAGCACTCTCTGCTGGTGTTAGTGGGATGTGCTGTGCAGGTCGGGAAGTTGCTTCTGCCCGGAGATGAAGTCAGTTCCGCCGCAGCACTGCACCTCCTTGTGTGTTAATGAGGTAAGACCTCGGAGTAACACACTCTTTTGAGACGATTGCTGGTGTCTTCCAGGACTTCTCGTTGTGGAGCTTGGTGTAGACTGTGTCTCCTGGCTGTCGAGCTGGTAGATGCCTGGCACCATGTCGTCGGTTGTAATAAAGGGCTTGTTTTGCTTTCTCACTCGTGTCCTTTTGTCTGACAATCTGTCTGTTTGGCCATTTAGGCCGTAGATTTTTCTCGAGTGTCGGGAGCATCGTTCTGATCTTTCTCCCCATTAGCAGTTCTGCTGGACTGACTCCTGTGGTAGTACAGGGAGTGGATCTATAGCACATAAGGGCTATCAGTGGATCTTCCTTCTCTTAGCGGTCTGAACTTCTCTTTCTGCATGACCGTTTCCTTGAGGATGGTGAGGACTAGACGTGATGTGTCTGAAGTCCAACCGCTGTGCCAGCTCCCGGAATTCTGCACTGGAGAATTGGGGACCATTGTCACTCACAACCTCTTCAGGAATTCCGAACCTAGCAAAGGTCGTTTTAAGTCTCTGGATGACAAGGGCACTGGTCGTAGATGGTAGTTGTAGTATTTCCAGATACCGTGAATAGTAGTCTTAAATCACAAGGGAGTTGTGCTTGTTATGTTCACAGAGGTCGAGAGCGATTCTTTTCCACGGACGATCAGGCAGCAGTGTGGAAATAAGCGGCTCCTTTTGTTGAGCCCGCTTCTGCTCCTGGCAGCTCCTGCATATGTTGACAATGTTCTTAATGTCTACAGAGAGCCCCGGCCACCAAACTGATGCATTCGCCCTTTCTCTGCATTTTGAGAGCCCCTGGTGTCCCGCATGTATTTTCTGCAAAATGATGATGGGATGCCCTGTATCACTGTGGCTACATAGCATGCCACATCTTCTTGAGTGTCAGTCTCTTCCTTTGTATGTGTCTGTGGGCTTCGGGACAGTGTGTCGGCGACAACAAGGGTCTTCCCAGAGACGTGCTCTGCTAAAGGTTTGTACCTCATGAGCCTTATTAGTAGACACTGACCTCTCAAGGGGACGTTATCTAGGCTTTGTTTGTTGATCAGTGGCACTAATGGTTTGTGGTCGGTCTCCAGCCTGAACTGATCCAAGCCACATAGATACTTGTCAAACTTCTCACGGGCCCATACGCTAGCCAAGTACTCCTTTTCTATCTGGGCGTAGCGTGTCTCCGCTTCTGTGAGACGCCTCGAACATTAGGCTATGGTAGACCACAGTGTGCCGTGGTCAGCATTGTCTTAATGTTCTCAAAAGCTGACTGCTGTGAGTGACCCCAGGTCCAGATGTTCCTGCTCTTCAGAAGCTCGTACAGTGGTTGACCTATTGTGGAAAGGTTTGGAACGTACCCAGGTAGTTCACCATGCCCAGGACTCTTTTCAGCTCATGGACGTTTCCTGGTGGAGCCAGCTGATGTATGGCTTCAACTTTATCAGGGTCGGGCCTGACTCCTGACTGGTCGATGAGATGTCCCAGAAAGCGTAGCTGGCTTTGTCTGAGGGAGCATTTATCTTTATTAAGTTGTAAGCCTGCTGACTCAACACGCTGTAGTACCTTCTCGAGTCTGGCGTCGTGCTGTTCTGTCGATGTCCCATAGACCAGGATATCGTCCATGAAGACTTCAACGCCTTCCAGCCCCTGCAGAGTCTCTAGCATTTTCCGCTGGAAGATCTCAGGCGCACTGGAAATCCCGAAAGGTAACCTTTTGAAACAGTACCTGTCAAACGGTGTTATAAAGGTTGTTAATTTACAGCTGACTGGGTGCAGTGGGATTTGCCAGAACCCACTTGCAGCGTCGAGAGAGGAAAACACAGTTGCACCACTTAGCTTTGCAGTTATTTCATCAGAGGTAGGTAAGATGTAGCGCTCCCTTTTTACTGACTCATTTAGTCTTTCCAGGTCCACACAGATCCTGGCTTTGCCTGTGGTTTTCTTTAGAACGGGCACCATAGGAGCACACCATTCAGTTGGCTGTGTTACCTTCTCGATGACACCGTTCTTCTCCATCCTCTGCAGTTCCTCTTTTACCATCTGTAACATTGGGAAGGCCACACGACGTGCTGTATGCACTGCATATGGTTGAGCCCCATCCTTTAATTGGATTTTAACGGGTTCAGTTTTTAGTGTGCCGTGCTCACCATAGGCTTGAAGGTGTTCACTGGTAGTGAATTTCACTTCAGCAACACGCCTCACCAGGTTCATCTCCACTGACAAATCCCGGCTGAGTAGGTTATTGACACTCTGGCCACGGACTACATATGCTTCAAATAGGTAGTTATTTCCCTTGTAACTAACTGTAGCATTAAAGCGTCCCAGACACAACAGTTCACCTCCTGGGCAGTCTAATGGGATGTCAGCTGGTTTCAGTGTTTTTGGTGGAGTGAGTGTGTGAAATGCATCCTCACATAAGACGCTGACATCAGCTCCTGTGTCAATTTTAAATTCCATTGGAGTAGAATCCACCTGGAGCTGTACTGTCCACTGCTCTTTCTCATCTGCACTGCACACTGAGCCTAAGAAATAATGGGTCTGCTCAGCCTGTACAGTCCCTATGACCTCACTCACTGATCTATTGCTGTTTCGGCACACTCTGGCCCAATGTCCTATTTTATTGCACTTGTGGCATGTAGCTTTAGCTGCAGGACACTCTTCTTCCTTGCTATGCTGTGATTTCCCACATTTACCACATTTGCTTTCACTTCCCCCCCATTTTCTGTCTTTTGACTTGCCTTGATGTTGTTGAGGTTTCCATTTGTTATTGTTTTCTTTGAATCTCACCTCCTGTACTGATCCCACTGTGTCTTCCTGCAGACTCACTTGTGCTGCGACCACCTCTGACTGCCTGATGGTCCGTATCGTCAGTGCTAGTGTTAGCTGCAGCCTGCGCGAGAGCTCTCTGTCTCATATCCCGACAACAATTCGGTCACGGATATTCTCATCTCGGCTTACGCTAAACTCACAGTGTTCAGATAGATCATACAGGGCTGGGATGAAACCCTCTGCCTTCTCCCCTGGCCGCTGGACCCGCTGGTGGAAACATGCCCTCTCATGGATAACGTTCCTCCTCGGGAAAAAGTACTCGTTGAACTTGAATATGTTTTCTGCCTGAATATGTTCACCTGCACTTTCCCGTCATCTTTGTCGAGTTTAGTATCGAGTCTGTACTGCTCAAAGCGTTGCCTCCATTCTGGCTATTCAGTCGGCTAATTAAACGAAAAGTTTGCTGGGGGATTAAACTTGGCCATTCCGCCGTCTATATTCCTCTACTTTGTCTTGTTTAATTACTGTGACTCACCGGTCACTTCTGACCCCATGTAGAATGATCGAGGGTCGAGTATCTTTCACGACTCAGGTTTATTGTACAGTAAGTCAAGGACATTACAGTAGGCAGCAACCACACAACTCACGGGCTTAATCTGAAGTAAAGCAGTCCCTCGCATGCCATAAAGCATGTCGCAACACTGTCATAACAGCCTTAACTCTGTATGCATTGTATGCATATGTGACAAATAATTCATAAAGAAATCAATGAATAAATATTAGGGATGCTCCAATCGATCGGCCACCGATCGATATCGGCCGATACTCACTGTGCGCGGCAAAACAAGCTCACCAAAATGGCTTCACCAGTCTGGCAGTATTTTAAGGTGTCCGAAAAGGACAATAAAATAGCGCTTTGCAACAGAAATTATATATATCAAATAGCTATTTGATCTACCTCTGGAACAAGCTAAATTAGTTATACATATGCTTATTCTTCACTGTTGGGTCACTCATTACTGGATCAGAGAGAGAGAGAGAGAGCGAGAGAGCGAGAGAGAGAGACTCCCGTGTTATTATCCACAGTTAATGTAAACTTGAATAATGTACTTCATTTCATTTGTAATAATTATGTTGGTTGTTGTTTGTGGAAGCTCCAGTGAATGAGCCCATTAACTGAGTTTTAAACATCACTTTAAATGGAAGATCCCCATAGGCCCCGCCCACTCAATCGGATCGGCGATCGGTATCGGCCGATGCTGATTTTGGCGATCGGCCCCAAAATTGGTGATCGGAGCCTCCCTAATAAATATGTTCAATAATCAATTAAACACATCTAAAATGTTAC